GTTGTGTTATGATGTCCACTAAAATCCCTCAGCTGGGGTTTGTGTTTTACTCTCAGATTTTTTTATTATCTGCTTGTAAAATCTGCAAAACAGATTCCTGTGCTTGATTAGCATCTCTCTGCTATGAACCCTACCTTTTCTGGTAGCCAATCCTACATTACTGTTTCTGTGAACTACCTGAATGTGCTTGCACTGATTTTTTTATGCTTCTTTGAGTGGTAATGAGACTGAAGTCTCAGAGAGGGGTGTCTTTTCTCAGATTGGAAGCTGTCCAGCAAAATAAGGTCCTGGTCCACAGCTAGGCCACTGAGTGTCATTTTACTGTTACTACCACAGTGATAAAAGAATCAAAACAGTGGCAATAATGAAAAAAGCTTTAATTCTACAGCAGGTAAAAGAAAATGGTATGCATGTGCCTGCTTACAGACTCTTGCCTTTTCTTTCCAAAATGTCTGTCTCTAATATGACAGTGGTAACTTCTCCCTTAAGAAAAATTCATTTGAAAGTTGCAAAATTCTGAATTTTAATTTGATTGCTAGTTCACCCTGGAATGGAATTTTGCCTTTGGTAGTTTTTCCATTTTCTCACAAGCATAGAAAAGCACTTATCTTGCTTCATAGGCAGCCATTATGGCTGTTTTATCTGTGTAACAAAGGACAGCAGAAATAAAAAGTTAGGTGCCCCGATAAGTTAAGGAGGAGAAACTTTTGAAGTCTACAAATAACACAGTTCCTTTTGGCTGATTGATTTCAGGTGAGCATAAAGGACACAAACAACCTTTTTCTTTAACTAAACGGTGCACATCTGAATGACAGACAGCTGCAGTTCAAGTAGAAACATTTTTGGCAGCTGTTCCACGGAGAATTGCCTCACTCAGAACCAGACTCCTGTTTCTATTCAGCGTAACCGAATGTTAGTTCCTCAAAGTCAAAAGAAATCTGAAAAGAAGAAGAAACCTCCCCTTGCACTACTCTATTTGTGACCGTGTGCATGAGGGTATCAAAAAGCAAAGCTTTGAGGAAGCCAGACAGCTGTGCTCCTGTGCGGGCTTGGTAGCTCAGTGCAATGGATGCAGTAGACGTGTCACTGCAATACCTGCAGTATGCCTCTGCCAACTGATTCCTGCCTGACCTCTTATCAGTCCTCATGCCTGCCAGAAATAGGCAGCAGCAGAGCTCTGCTCATTCGGTCTTAGATGATCACAGCACACAGTTCCATCTTACTCCATTGCCAGAAAAGAACAGAATTGGCTGTAGGTGGAACCAAGGCTTATCTCTTGCAGTTTAACACTTCTTAATTGAAACCTAAGAGCATGTGAAGCCATCTTTTGTTCTTTTCCTTCTTACTTTATTATACTCTAGCACATATTTTCCTTTTATAAAGTAAGACATTTCTTCTCAGGACAAGCTAGAGTATGATGAGTAAGCTCACATAATTATCCTGCAACATGATATGAGCTTCTCGTTATGAAGAAGGTGAGCATTTGTGGAAGGAAAAATCTTAGCAGAGCATTATGTTCCCTTTTTCATCTTCAGTTTCAGTTATTTCTGCATATTTTATTGCTTTATTGTGTACTTCAGTGTAGGAGTCCCAAATACTTTCTCCTTAATGCAAGTGCTCCACCAGAAGGGGGAGAGCAGTTCAGTCACCTTCCTGACTGATGCTACAGAACAATCAGTGAGAGCAACAGTGACCCCCTGTGAGGAAGTCAGGATTTCATGAATACAGAAAGAGAAGGAAGCTTTGTGTAATAACATATCAAACCAAGAATAGCAGAATAAGTTTAGTCCAAAGTAGCTGGAGAAGCAGGTAAAGGCTGTTTACAGTACATTCTTAGATTCATTTTACCTTCATTTTAAGGAAGAGGTTGTGACAGGAATAAAGGCCTTTGTAGAAAAGAAAGAATTCTAACTCTAGACAGGTAGAGATTAGGCAGCAAAAAACAGCAATGCTTATAAGCAAGTAAAGAGGTAGAAGACTGAGAAGAGCTAAAGCAGATTGCTGCCAGTTGGGACTAAAGTTACAATTTCATTGTGGGATGCGTTGGGATGGGAAATCTTTGCACACCACCTGTTTGAGCTCTGCCCTTACGTACTCAGGTCTTGTCCCTACAAGATGAAATTCCCACTAACTTACTTATTCACCAGCTAAACTTGGCTGCATCTGCCTTGAAAAAACAACAATACAAAAGTATGTGTATTGTGCTGTTTGTTTCCTAAAAACAAATTCATGAAGTATTTTGTGTTGCTTTCCTCACATCTCCACTTGCCCTTAGGAGTATATCACAGCTTCAAATGATAACCTACTCTGAGTTGTAAAAACAAGGAAGCCGAAATAAATTCAGTGGAATTATCCCAATGTCAGATACCAAGTATTTTGTTTTGCATTTTACTTGTTTAAATAATTGAGATGAAATTCCAAGAGCATATGTTGAGCTTACTTAAGATGGTTTAAATGATCTCTTCATTTTTCTTGTTCCAGTGTAAAAATTTCCTAGCCTAGATTTTAGAGAATGGTATGTTTTTCTTAGGTGTCAATACCTGATTCAAAGATACTTGCTTAAACAATCCTTATTGAATCCAGCTGGCTCTGGATAAGGCTTCTACTGTTTTATTCAGAACAAATATAAAATTTGATCCTCAAGAGCCTTTTTTTTTTTTTTTTTAATTCTACCCTAGTCTGGCACATTGTCACCATCTAAATCGACTGGAATAAGTGAAAATCATTCAGAATGACAGCAAAAAACAGCACCGCTTTTTGGCTTCTTCAGCGACGTTTCCTCCTTTTTGCTTTTTGGCCACAAAATAAACAGGCATAAGAGATGTAACTGCCAGAAAAGTCAGCAGATTGGTGTTAATGCCTAAGAGGAAATTCCTAACTATAGAAATGTCACAATCATCTACACTTTCAAAGTGTATTTCCAGATAGATGGTTATTTTTCACTGTCTTATCTTTGGAAACCATATCATAATCCTCCATGCAATCTTATTGGACACAAACATGGTGTTACATGACAATTTCTTCTTTTAAATTTAGCACCACAGCTTTGTAATGTTAGAGAAAAACAAACCTAGAAAATCTGTATGGATAGTTTGTCTCCACAAAAAGAGTGTTACCTCAAAAATGCCATACTGATGAGACACTCAGCGCTGTGAGTCACAGCATTAGTGGGCTGAACCATTATTGTGTATGGATATACATTTTCTCTGTTTGTAAAATTCGAAGTGTTTTATTTGTAATAGAAATACATTTTAGGATAAAGGTGTGGTTGTAACATTTGAACATCTGAATTTTGAAGAAAGCTTATGACTTAAAGAAGTTGATACTTAAGAATGCGTTCTTTTTATGACTCGTAAAAAAATCACATTACTATAATATATTCTTGAAATGCAAAAGAGTTAGAAACTAGAATTCGTAAAAAAAAAAAGCATTACAAACCCAGATTCAAAATCACTTTCTAGATAAAATGTCAGAAGCGAAGATTTAAGATCTCTGCCATACAGATAACCTTTGGGAAGGCAGTAGTAAAGACCATCATTTTCACTTCTGCTGAATTCCACATTCTTTTTACTTTGCAGGCCCTGTTGTCCAACTATTTCATATCGATTTCTCTCTTTCCCTTCCTCCTCTGTCCCTCGATTTGTAGTTCTACCCTTGTTGTCTCTTTCATTCTTTTTTTCTAACTCATACCTTTGTCCAGTTCTTGCCTTCTGCTTTCTTATTTCATTTTCAGAGCACAATTATTTTTTTCCTTCTCCTTCCCACCCCATTCATGTATCTCTTTCAACCTACAGCTTTTAAGATAAATCACAACCACAGGCTTTTTCTTTCTGAAAAAACGGAGGCCTGGATGGTAGCTAAAGTTATTCTTGATATAATATTATTCTATATTTTTATTTTTTATGATATAATATATAAAAATTATATATATATTTATATTATATTATATTTATATTTATATTATTATTTTATATATTATATAAAATATTTATATAATATATCAATTATAATTGATATAATATTATTCTATAATGCTGGTACCCAGCATTAATGTTTAAGCATGTTTCCTGTTTTATATTGCATTTACCTACGACTTGTAAGTATCATTAAGTAATTATTCTAAGAAAATACTAAGAGCTTTTTGGCCCTTGAAGCTGCTCTGATAGATGAATTAGATCAATACAGTCATTTATAACCAGATATATGTTGTTTGTTTGTTTGTTTGTTTTTCCCTGTCAAAAGACTCTTTGAAAGATAACTTCAGTAGGATTTTTCTTAGGAAGCTGAAATATTTCATCTTAGTTCATTGCAGATCATAACAGAAAAACAAACATATAACTGGAATGTTAATTTCTACTCACTAGTGCAGGACAAAGGAATTATCAGTAGAAATGCTACCAAATAATGGAGACTACTAGAAAAGTTTTGCCCATTTAGCTCCTTAGTTACTATGCTTGGAAATTATCAGGACTTGTACTGTATTCATTTTATTTTCTGTTCATAGCTAAGGCATGATTATTATTCTGGGATCTCGCTGACTTACACAGAGCCTCTCCAGAGTGAATTTGAAATGGCAGTAAATCAGAATGGTTGCTTTTATCATCTCTTTGCACAGGTGTTAGTGACAGCAAGGGTCACTAATGCTGATGTAAAGAGTAAGAGAGCATGAGTGTGAAGAGAATCAGTATTGTTGCATCAGTATGAATGTGGAAGGATGTAGAAAGGCTCAGAAGTCCAGGAAATATCAAGTATGAGCTTCCTGGAAATCCTGTTGTAGAGCGCAGCTTTGCATCTCAGCTGGTTCTCACAAGCAGCCTCACCACTGCACTCTACTTCTCTAGAACTTTGTATTTGAACTTTCAATATTTCTTCTCCTTACAAAAGTATAATTGATTTCAACGTCTTTAGTTTTTGTTTCTGAAAGTAAACCAGTTTGGGGTATTATGAAAGTGCCAGTTGTAATGAAACTATCACCTGCAGCTTGGAACAGAAAAGGATACCTGTGATCAAATACATACCAAACTCTGAACAGCCACGCACTCTCTGCTTTGGTTGTATTTTTATCCAAGTTACATGCAGTCTGCAAATAAGCAAATAAAAAAGTGAAATGCGTTTTTATGACAAAAAACCATGAAGTTCCAATATTAAAAATACGTCAAACCAGTAACAGTTTATTGTACTTCTTTCCCCTTCTAATCTGAAAAGCCTCTCTTACAGGAATGTCATCTCTCAAATTGGTTCATGAGCAATTTGGCTCATATAACACACTTCTCATTATACTGTATACTTGATGGAGGAATGCAGCATTTAGTTTTATTAATGATTCCAATTTTATTAAGAAGCTGAGAAGCACTGTATTCTAAGATCAGTAAAATGACATTTTGATCTAATTGCTGTTGTGGGATTACTTCAGTTTACTCCTACAAGCTCGGATGCTGTATGCCTAACCAAATGTCATTTTTGAAGGTACTGTGGTATTCTAATAATCATGACACTGCTTTCTGTGCTGCTCTCCAAGAGAGAGAAGATCACAGAAATATTGAAAAAGCAGGGGCAGTCATAAGCACCAAAATGCACTGACTCAAAATACTGTTTTTCATGCTGTAAACTAATTCTGGGACACCCTGCACAGGTAGACGGGCTGTCATTTTACTGAGAATCATAATTTGGAATAATATATTTGTGAGAGTCTTCTGCGCAAAAATAGCTAGTTTGGTCTTGCTCTGGGCATCACATTAATACCAGTGGCATGATGGAATTAGGAATGGGACTGTCAGTCCTCTAAAGGATATTTTCTTCTTGTTTCTGTTTTGTTGGAAGTTAGATTTGTTTGTAATAGGAATGCTTTTCTTCATGCAGTTTTAAAACACGTTATCTAATTATTTTTATTCTAATCGAACACATTAAAAATTCTCATAATACTTAACATGCATGTAAATGGGCTGACGATAATAATATTAGTGTGCTGATCCTTAAAACTGTAGGGTCTGGTTCCAAGCCATCATAGACTTGGGAACTTTGGTCACAAAGGAGATGGACAGAAATTTCTGCAGCAGATCTGGAGGCCTCTCCATTCTGGCTGAGAAGGGGGGAGCCTAGAGGCTTACTTCTCACACATTTGCTGGCTTTTAAATATCTTATTCTTGAGTGGGTTCAGTCCTTCTTGTACAATCCCCTGAAGCTCTAATTAATGGAACTAAGTGCTGGCAGGCGGCTCACATCTCATCTGGCTGAGATATTAAGTGGCAACAGAAGACAGTGGCACTTGGTATGTTACTTATATGAGTTCTGTGTGAGGTTTATGAATATGCGCTGTGCAGGATTCAGATTGAACTATGATCTAGTAATACTTAAGAAAAGCCAAAATGTATTCTAGTTTATGCTATTACAAGTAAAACAACTTGTTTCACTGTGAAGAGATGCAACACAGAAAATGTAAAGTAGGTAAATGAAATAAAAACATTATATATTATATAAATACAAAAATTATAATAGATAAATATTAGAAATAAAAGGAAAACAAAAAGACAACAAAGGGGAAGAAAAGAAAAAGATGAGAGAAAAAAACAACTGTTTGTTCAGAGTTGATCAAACAACTCTGATAGATACTGAGTTAAAGAGGGCTACAGAGAATGTGATAGAGATCTGCAACAGTCTAAGATCGAGATGTCGAATACAAAGAACTCAGAGAAATGAAAATAGAAGACCACAGGGTAGAAGAAATCAGTGCAGCAAAGCTATTTTCCAAAATAAAATTTATACCATAAGGATTACTGCCATGGACATGTCAGAGCATGAAATGTGTTACATTTATTTACACCTCCTGAATTGTGTTCCTGAGTTTTGTCAACAGAGATAGGTGTTGATTCACAGGGCACTGCTGGGCACTTGACATGTTATTGTTATTCATAAACAATTATTTTCATTTCTATTAAAAGAAGGAGGCAACTAGAAGCCCAGGGTTTCTGGAGAAATCAAGTTTTCACAAACCATTTGGTCAATTTTATACCACTCAATTCAGCATTCTGTTATGTTTGATAGCTCGTGACTGCTGCAAAGGAGAACAGCTCTGAAATTAAATGGTTTTGAAATTCACGCAAGAACAGATAAATGTTAACAACATAAAAAAAGTGGTGTGTCCTGTATTCAGCCAGAATTTCAGCAGAGGCATTGCAAGAATTACTACCAAGTCACCAAGGAGGGTGATATTTGTAACCTGTGCCTTCAGCATCAGAATATATCAGTATCACAGCTTGGTGCAACAGGGTGCTGTACCAGCCATTTGCTAGGGACTGAGATGTAAAAATAAAGATATGATCATATATGAATCAATTTTTTTCTATTATTTTCAGAGAAACTTTAGGACATTTAGGCATGTGAATTCCATTCAGCTCAGTGAAAGCTGAGACCCTAAATGACTTCTGATATATGCAAGTGGGTAAAGTTTAGAAGTTCAGTCTAATAATATTTTTTATGTATTTCCATGTGGATAGCGTCTCTCATTCATTTCTTGCCCTAACTTATTATGTACGTTTTTCTAATTGTTGGGTAATTTCAGTTGCAGTTAGGCAGTTGGAAGGAATGCTTGGGATGGTATTACCCAGAAACAGGAACAAGATTTTTTTATCTGTTGTTTTTCTTTTTCTTTTTTTTTTTTTTTTTTGCTGTGAGAATTTGCCAAGTCTCACGCTGGTTTTCCTTACTCCTCTTAGCATGCTGAAGGACACCTTACCTCTATGCGTACTGACTCTTACAGAGTCACAGTTGCAGACAATGCTGCGTCTGAAAGAATTCTGTACAAATGTGACAAAATAGGGAGGATGGCAGACGATCTTTGGGAGCTTTTTCACCGAGCTCCTTTAGTTCAAAGTTTTTATGTTCAGAACACAGACAGATTTCTATGTTAAAAATATTTTCAGAAACCTGGCCTGCTGGGACAGAACATTGCACGCTTTCCCTTTTTATTCCAGGAAATGGAAAGTTGTTCTGAAATGTTGCATTTCCCAGAAAGTCTCATCTGGAAGGTGATAAATAGCTGGATTTATGAAGGCTACATTCTACTATTCTGCTTGTCAGAATTCTCAGGATATCTTTGCACTGCTTTATAATTTTCTTCAAAGCTCTCTAACACCTTTAGTTACAAAATATTCATGAAATACATCTCCTTTTCTGTACCCTGTACTATAGAGACAATTTGCAGTTCCTTCTCAATGACCTTGATGAGGGATAGTGGCCACCCTCAGCAAGTTTGCTGATGATACAAAGTTGGGAGGATTGGCTGACACTCCTGAAGGCCTTGCTGCCATTCAGTGAGACCTGGATAGGCTGGAGAGCTGGGCAGAAAAAAAACGGATGAGGTTTAGCAAAAGCAAGTGTAGAGTCTTGCATCTGGGGAGGAATAATTGCATGCACCAATGCAGGCTGGGGGATGGCCTGATGGAGAGGAGCTCTGCGGAGAGGGACCTGGGTGTCCTGGTGGACGACAGGTTGGCCATGAACCAGCAGTGTGCCCTTGTGGCCAAGAGGGCCAATGGCATCCTGGGGTGCATTAAAAAGAGCATGGCCAGCAGGTCGAGGGAGGTGATCCTCCCCCTCTACTCTGCCCTGGTGAGGCCTCATCTGGAGCACTGCGTCCAGTTCTGGGCTCCCCAGTACAAAAAAGACAGGGATCTCTTGGAAAGAGTCCAGCGGAGGGCCACGAAGATGGTGAAGGACCTGGAGCATCTCTCCTATGAAGAAAGGCTGAGTAAACTGGGTCTGTTCAGCCTTGAGAAAAGAAGACCGAGAGGGGATCTGATCCAGGTTTATAAATATCTAAGGTGTGGGGGGCAGAATGGTGAGGCCAGACTGTTTTCAGTGGTGAATGGAGACAGGACAAGGGGAAATGGCTGGAAACTGCAGCATAGGAAGTTCCGCACAAATGTGTGCAAGAACTTCTTTACAGTGAGGTGACGGAGCACTGGAACAGGCTGCCCAGGGAGGTGGTGGAGTCTCCTTCTCTGGAGATGTTCAAGACCTGCCTGGATGCCTACCTGTGCTACCTGCTGTAGGGAACCTGCTTTGGCAGGGGGGTTGGACTCTATGATCTCTGGAGGTCCCTTCCAGCCCCTACAGTTCTGTGATCCTGTGATTCTCTTTATTTATAATTTGCTGGTTTAAAAATTTTCCAGCTATAATGCTTTCTTTGTCAAATGTTCTCCTTGAGTGGTTCAGGTTTATGCAGCACATACATCTGAAATCATAACATACCTGGTTTGCAGCTTCTGCTTTCATATCTTCATCTGGATCTACACCAACTCTGTTTTAAAAAAAAAAACAAAAATGTGGTAATGGCCAGATGTGTATTTGAGAGCTTTGAGGGAAGAAGTATTTCTCTTGTGCCCACCAGGTGAGAAAAGCAGAGAACTGACAAAACGTTGAGATCACTTTTCAAATCAGGGCAGTTCTTAATATGTTTTTATGAACATGAGACACTGAGGTTAAATCTTCACCGTATTTTGTAAATGATACAATGTAAGTGTTAAGTCACCTGAGGAGGAACTGGAGTTTAAGAGGTAAATGAAGGAGAAGACTGCAGGACTATGGAGTTTCTTGACTGAGCATGGCTTCTAGCATTTGGAAAGTGCTTTGCTCTGCAAACAAACCACTGGATGCAAGAGTGAAAAACGATTTTTTTCTATCACAGCTTTTGAGTTTCAGTGAATCTGAGCGCTTTAATCTTTTTTTTTTTTTTTTTTTTTTTTTTTTTTTAAATAATGACTCTGGTGCAGACTCTGGTCATTTAAATAATGACTCTGGTGCAACAAGGAAACAGACTGCACAGCTACTTATTTTGCTTCTTCATGTCCTGTTCCTTGAATTGCTAGAGAAGTCTTCTGACAGTACTAACCTATTCATTTGTTTGGAGTAAAGCAATCTAGCTGTTTTCCATTCCAGTAATGGAAACATTTACAGGGGAAAAGAAAAAGGAACATACATGAAGGTTTAACCATCAGTCTGACACTGACCTTGTTACTGTCACATACAGAACTGTGGTGTCTTTATCTATGCTCAACATTGTAAAACTCAGCAGTGTGAGACAGTCCTGTGCTGCAGTAGACGGCTGAACTGCAGCAGGGTATGGAAATTGGTACAGCAGGAAACAGTGGTGCAGGTGGAGGTGTGATCATCCCAGGCTCATAAAGCGAGTCAGAATCAGAGAATCCAAGTCTCCTAAACCCAATTGTATACCCTGTTTATTAGACTGTGCTTACTTACTGGATGTGTTCACTGACAGTGTCACATGGCTGTCACAGAAAAACACTGGTAATGCAATAGTTAAGGGACAGCATAGTTCTAGAAATAACATAAAAGAAATAATACAGAGAATTCAAAGCATTTATGCATGATAGGTATAGCTGAAAGACTCCAGCACAAAGTTCCCCACACTCTGTTCTCCTTAATGAGCTTGACTTGACCTCAAAGAATCAGTCTCCTGGGACAGAAGTAATTTAGCCTTCACGCAGTTCCGAGTTTACTGGAGTTGAGAAACTGCCAGTTCTGACTGATTGTGTGTGCTGGAGTTGCGATGCGTTTATTACAGAATGAGCTAAGACAACAGAAAACATTTCACCCGAGACTAAAAGAACACTAAGAGAGAATATAAAAAAGACTGGACAGTGGGATCAACAGGAACCAGTTTTTGGCTGCTGGACTGACTGTCTCAGAAATATAACTGTTAACTAATCAGGAACAATAGGAATCCATCGGCACAGAAAAAATCCAGGCTCAAAGAGTTATGCAGATATTTCTTTCCTGTGGTAAGCTACATTTTCTCTGTATGAATATATGTTACGTTGAGTCCTTATGGCTACAGAGTTAGCTAGCACTTCCGCCTTGATTGTCCTGTAGACAACAGATTATGATAATATGGCACATATGAAGATATTCACATGAAACCTCTTGTGAAGGAGAATCTCACTATTGGAGATCAGTGTGCACAGCATTATCTTATCCACTGATGCAGTTACTTGAGAAAAAAAGAAAAAAAAAGGTCATTTTTTGCATTTTATTGTCAAGTTTCTTAAAGGATTAAAATAAAAAACAGATTGTAAAAATGTGAATCTTAGTGATTCCATTAAGTGTGCACTAAGCAGATTCAGTTCAGGCAGTTCTGAAGCTGAGTATTTCCTACCCAAACATAGGCTTGGAAGCCTCACATCAAGAATCTACCATTGAAAATCACAGTCTGCAGCAATTAATTTGATGAACTCGATGTGAACTAGAATGCTATTTTTAAATGGCAGATACTGAAAACAAAACATAGCAAATTACACAAGACAGTCAAGACGACTGAAATTAAGCTGTTACGTGCTTCAGGTTTCTATCCTTGACCTCTGCAGGGCTGCAACATCTAGAATTTGCAAACTTAAAATTCCTGATCAATTACAGTGAAGAACTTAAAGAAATATTCTACTGTTAATGTTGGGATAAGTGTCACTTTTAGCATTCTCGATTTTCATTTTCTGTGAGAAGTCAGAAAAGTATTTTCCACATTTAGTATTATTTTACTTGTCCTTCCTTGCTGCCAGTTTTGTCCCTTTTCTCCTGTAACCATGTTTCGTGGTTGTATTATCCCTTTTCCAACCTTCTGTCCCACTTTCTGGTTTTTCTGTACTCCTTGTTCATTTCTTCTCAACTCCTCTAAACATTGTATGTTTTTATTTCCAACTTTCTGGTTTTGCACCTTCTTATTCTATATGTTAAACATTTAGGATAACATCTAAACCAATTTATTTGGATTGAATATAGACTAGATGACTTTTTCTGTGACACAAATCTGGCTTTTCTCATTAGAACATTAGTACCACTGAGATCTTTACATTCCCCTCCCTCCCCCCTTTTCAGTTAAAATGTTACTAAAGATGATTTTTTGGTGCAAGAATCATTGTTTACCATGATTTGACTCTTTAGAATACAATTAAACTTATTTCTGTAGCACTTAAGGAAATGGTACATGGCAGATTATTTCAGTATATAATACCACAGAGGGCTGGAAGATATTAAATTTGATGGGATTATTTTGCAGATCACAGGTGCACACTTCTGTGAAACAGGCCTACCTATTCCGATAAGAAATGTCATGTCAATAGCTGTGGTTTGGTGCAGGATGGTGCCAGAGACAATTTGGTGTGCACTGAGAGAAACACAACTAAAAATAATTGTGGTTTTTTTTTATCCTGGTTTTCCACTGATAACTTAAAAGAGCCTCCAAATGTTCTGCTTTCCCTCCCCTTTGTCCCACTGGGGAAATCTCATCCTCTCTGTTCAGGCATGGACTTCTTTACCCCAGAGCCAGCTGAGATTACTTCATCTATAAACCCAGAAAGCAGTCTGGTTTTATGATAGTATAAGGTGATTTATTCCTTTGTTTTGAGAATATGAGACATGGCATTTTACTGAACAGATTTCTCAGCACAAGCTTGTTTTTGGGTATCCTGAGATAAAGTGGGAGGCCAAAAGGACTGGTTGAAAGAAGCTGTAGGGCAGTGCAAGTTTCTTTTCCCCAGCAAATACTTCCTTCTGTGTTAGTACATGCTGTTTCATGTTTTTGTTAAATACTTTCTGATTTTGAGGTGTAATGTTGACAAATAACATGATGATTTGTTAATTTCAGATTGCACTTTGATTTATTCCAGTTGCTGCTAATCACAATGAAACATTTTTTTTTTCTGCTCCATGATTGTACAGTTAGGTTAAAAAACACATTTATTTTAGATTTTGAAGTATCCATTAGTATGCTTTTTCATTTTTGCATAGGCTTTTCTTTTAGAATTTATTAGAATATTTTAAGAATGGTTTCTGATGAAGTGTGCACATTACAAGGAGGATCTGGATTTAAAGACACTTTTTTTCACATAGAAAGAAATGCAATGAAGACTTTTTAATCAAATCTACATTGCTGTGCAGTTTAACTACTGTATGTATTTTGGTGGGCTTTAGTAATGTCTTCCATTTTGAGGGATTCAAAATCCTGAAAGCCGGCCTATGTTGTTCTTTCTGCCTTTCCATAATGGCTGTATCAAAACCCAGATTTAGACATTGTTCAAAGTTTCTATATTCAAAATCCGGCACTGAAGCTTGTGACTGCAGCCAGTTTCTAGTAATTAGGCCAAAGCGTTGCTAGGAACTGTGCACTGGCCTGCAGAAATACCCTTTGCAGTTTTCAGTATTTAAATCCCTGTGTGCTATCAAGTGCATCGCTTTTTTATCAACAGTCAGAATGCATTTGATTATAAGAAGAGGATTTTGTTGCTGAATACAAAGCAGTCAATAACATCTTTTATGATGTGGTTTGCAATGAAAATGGATGAAGAGATAAATCCCAATTTGTCAGGGGAACCACAAGTAAGAATCACAAAGCTAATCTATAGGAATACTGAGTAGAAAATTACTATTCTGTCAGCAAACTTTTCATTCTCGCATTCAAATTACCACAAAGCCAATGCTCTAGGATTAGATCTCTGCTTTCCACAATAAAGGCACAGAAAAAAACTTAAACTTGTGTTTTCTTAAGGATCTCAGAATGTAGAGCAGAATTTTGGTTCTACACCTACAGTTAGGATTCTCAGCCCTCACTCACTTTAGCTGCCAAGAAATCTCTAAACAGAGATATTTCTCTCAAATCTGAATTATAAATATAGAAACATTATTTTTGGGCCTGTTTAGGCTTTATGTGTTTGCAGAATGAAGCAGTCCAGTGCCTGGTTTATGCACACTGGATTGTGTTTGTAGTCCCAGCTAGTCCAGTTTGCACCTACCAAATACTCACACAAGTGAACTGTGCTCCAGTTGAAGAAAACAGGACTATCTTAAGATGAAAACATGATACCAAGTATTTTAATCTAGGCCCTTTCAATTTTATGGCTAATGCATTAGAGTGTCCTGCAAGGCCAGCTTCTATCAGTAACCTCAACCTGAGGTGGTTCCATAACACACCTCCTAGAAGTGCCATAAATACTGGCCTGAGAGTGATACAGATGGCGGTACTGTCCATCATCCTGCTGAGGCTGTTCTGCTGCATCAAACAGTGTTCGAGCACTGACAAAGGCCCAGGAAACAGTTCTACTAATTTGTGTATTAAATAATATACCTAAAAGCTGCATTAAATAATGCAACAAGAGATACAATGAACAAAACATCAGGCTTGGGAAAATTTACAAGAGAAATATCTCGTATTGTAAGAGACTTGTCCCTGCTCTAAGAGTATGATGGTGAATGTGTAACTGATGACACATGATATTATAGAACTGTCAGGTA